GCCAGGAAGCGAGCGGCGACAGAGACACGAGTTGACGAGACGGCATTTAGCATTTGTACGGGGCAGCCCGACTCTAGAATGCTGGCACTGGGGGCGAGTTTCCAGCATGACAGGAGAGTGGCTCAGCCCACGCTAGCGCGGTCCCCTAATTTTGGCCCGTGGGCTGGTGCCATTTGCCTCTTGCTGCGCGTCTATGCATTCAATGTTGTATCTTGTTTACGAAGCCCGTCGGGTCCAGTGTTCCATGCGCAATGTTCAAAGTTGCTGCGGCTCACGACGCCGACTTGCTGTCCTGTGCTTATTGCATGTGCTCTATTGACCCGTTCCTGTGAAACAAGGACTGTTGCCCACAAGGACCGTTGAAGCAGGTGCAACGGTTTGCATGCTTTAGGTACCAGTTGACGCATTACGTATTGTTGACCGTTGACAGCTGGAGCTTGCTAATGTCTACCAGTACTTGCGTCAAGCGATCGCCCCAAAAATCTCCCTCTCTGTGTACCATCCCCTGAGCGCGCCGCCTTGTTTGGGCACCGTCATCGTCCGTCGAGTACGTACTTCTTTATTCCCACCTTTGTCCAGGGCCTTGTGTTTGTCTTCTCCTTCTCTCACCATCACCTCTCCATGCTTTGTGGTGCGACTTGCCCCTTTTCTCCCCCATCACCGTCTTGTGCCCAGCTTGCACCATTCGATCTTTGTATTGTATGACGCTGCGCTGAGCCTGTTGCCTTCCTCAGCCGGACACCGCGAGCCTTGCCTAAAACCTAGCTGCGCGGGCGCCTGCTCTTTTTTTAGCCGCCTCCTGATTTGCTTGCCTTGGTTTGAGTGAGATACGCTCCAGCACCGCCATCCTGCCGCGCGGATAAAGTACCTGGGTAGCACTACGTACTTTGTCTGGTACAACCAAGGGGAAAAAACCTCCACTGACACCCCCAAGCTCTCCCATCAGCCATCACTTGGATATTTTTTTCTTTTTTTTTGGTATCTGCCCGAAGCCGACCATAACTTGAGCTTCATCAGTATTTCTACAGAATAGTCACATCTGCGCTCGCTTTCCAGCTCGGAACAACTTCACAACTGATCACACCATGGCGTACAACGGCCACGGTCAAGGCCAAGGCCAAAGCCAAGGCCATGAATACGGGGGACACCCCATGCAAGACCTCCCTTCGGGTAACAACGTGGGTTGACCGTTCTCTCCATCACCTCAAGCTTCAGACCGAGTTCTGCATGAACATGGCTAACCGCAGTCATTCGCAGTATCACATCACTCCTCAGGACCACGATGAGGATGCTCGAGGCTATTTGCTAAATGAGCCCCCGGCACACGGCTATGACCACGACCGTCTCGGAGTTGGCACGCCTCCTGACCGACCAGTCTCTGCCTATAGTCTTACTGAGTCGTATGCTCCCAACGCATCACAGCTCCCTCCAGCTGGCTCTGGTGGCTTTGGTGACAATGGCTTTGGTCAGTATGGACAACCTCAAGGTTTCGGCGGCCCTTATGACCGCCCTCTCTCAGCCGTCCACGACGAGGAGGAGAGCTGGATGCAGCGCCAGCAGCAGCCTGGCGGCGTCGGCCAAGCTGGCGGGCTGAGGCGATACAACACGCGAAAAGTCAAGCTTGTCCAGGGCTCTGTCTTGAGTATTGATTACCCCGTACCCAGTGCTATCAAAAACGCCGTTCAGCCTCGCTACCGCGACGTTGAAGGCGGTAACGAAGAGTTCATGAAGATGCGGTACACGGCCGCCACCTGCGACCCCAACGACTTCACCCTCAAGAATGGTTATGATTTGCGACCTCGTATGTATAACAGACATACTGAACTTCTCATAGCCATCACCTACTACAATGAGGACAAGGTGTTGCTGTCTCGAACCCTGCACGGTGTTATGCAGAACATTCGTGACATTGTTAACCTCAAGAAGTCTACTTTCTGGAACAAGGGTGGACCGGCATGGCAAAAGATTGTTGTCTGCTTGGTCTTTGACGGTATCGAGAAGGCAGACAAGAACACTCTCGACGTTCTTGCGACAGTCGGTGTGTATCAAGACGGTGTTATCAAGAAGGATGTTGACGGCAAGGAGACTGTTGCACATATCTTCGAATACACCAGTCAGCTGTCTGTTACCCCAAGCCAGCAGCTGATTCGACCAACTGGCGATAGCCCTCAGAACCTCCCCCCCGTGCAGTTTATTTTCTGTCTCAAGCAGAAGAACAGCAAAAAGATCAACTCCCACAGATGGCTCTTCAACGCCTTTGGCCGAATTTTGAACCCCGAAGTCACTATTCTTATTGACGCCGGTACGAAGCCCAGCCCTCGATCTCTCCTCGCACTGTGGGAAGGCTTCTACAATGACAAGGATCTCGGTGGTGCCTGTGGTGAGATTCACGCCATGTTGGGTAAGGGGGGCAAGAAGCTCTTCAACCCTCTCGTTGCGGTCCAGAACTTCGAGTACAAGATTTCCAATATCCTTGACAAGCCTTTGGAGAGTTCTTTCGGATACGTCTCCGTGTTGCCTGGTGCCTTCTCTGCCTACCGATTCCGAGCCATCATGGGTCGTCCGTTGGAGCAGTACTTCCACGGTGACCACACACTATCCAAGATTCTTGGCAAGAAAGGTATCGATGGAATGAATATCTTCAAGAAGAACATGTTCTTGGCCGAAGATCGTATTCTCTGCTTCGAACTTGTCGCCAAGGCTGGTCAAAAGTGGCATTTGACCTATATCAAGGCCGCCAAGGGTGAGACTGACGTGCCTGAGGGTGCTGCCGAGTTTATCAGCCAGCGTCGACGTTGGCTCAACGGTTCCTTTGCCGCTTCTCTGTACTCGCTTATGCATTTTGGACGACTGTATAAGAGCGGTCACAACATTGTTCGCATGTTCTTCTTGCACATTCAGGTCATCTACAATGTTCTCAATGTCATCTTCTCCTGGTTCTCGCTTGCTTCCTACTATCTCACCACAACTGTCATCATGGATCTGGTCGGTACTCCAGTTGTCGCCTCCAGTAGCGCTGCAGAACACCACGGCTGGCCTTTTGGTGACACTGCCACCCCTATTATAAATGCTCTGCTCAAGTATCTGTACTTGGCCTTTGTTATACTGCAGTTTATCCTGGCATTGGGTAATCGACCAAAAGGTTCCAAGTTTACGTACATTGCCTCGTTCATGGTATTTGGCCTTATTCAGGGATACATTTTGGTTCTCTCGGGATACCTGGTGGCACGAGCGTTCCAGCAGCCCATCTCAGAGCAAATCAAGCTGGACTCCAGTGAAGACTTCGTACGAAGTTTCTTCTCTGGTTCTAGTGCGGGTGGTGTGATTCTCATTGCACTAATCACCATTTATGGTCTTTATTTCGTGGCCTCGTTCCTTTACCTCGATCCTTGGCACATGTTTCACTCCTTCCCGTATTATATGCTTCTCATGTCGACCTACATCAACATTCTCATGGTTTACGCCTTCAACAATTGGCACGACGTATCCTGGGGTACCAAGGGCTCAGACAAGGCTGAGGCACTTCCATCTGCGAACGTTACCAAGAGTGAAAAGAATGAGGTCGTCGTTGAGGAAATTGAAAAGGAACAAGAGGATATCGACAGCCAATTCGAGCAGACGGTTCGACGAGCTCTTGCACCCTTCAAGGAGGTGGAAGAAATCGAGAAGAAGGATGTGGAGGACTCTTACAAATCCTTCCGAACGGGTCTGGTCGTTTCTTGGCTCTTTTCCAACATCTTGCTGGTTGTTATAATTACCAGCGACAACTTTAACTCGTTTGGTATCGGAGTAAGTGGCTTAGTATCATGGCTCGGTTTGCACACGATGCTAACAATTTCTAGAAATCGGCGTCTGTTCGTACAGCCAACTTCTTCAAGTTCTTGTTGTATGCCACGGCTGCGCTGTCTATTGTTCGATTCATTGGCTTCCTGTGGTTTCTGGGCAAGACGGGTCTAATGTGCTGCTTCGCTCGCAGATGAGGCGTACACGGCACGAAAGAATGGACAGCATTTGGAAGGAGGGAATACGGTGGTGTTTGGATGGTATCATCACGGATGTCGACTTGTAGACAAAATTGGCCCATTTGCGAATACCTCTCTTTGTAACGTTTTTGTATCAAAAATTAATGCATGGGAAATATTGATTTTAAACGTATGGATGATGTTAAACGGAGCTTCCTGTTTGTTTCTTTCCTCATCACGAAATCAATGTACCTGTTGAATTGATCATCGAAACTGCGATGACTAACAGTGACTGACGAACCGGAATTGGCAGCGACACAGTGGAAGCCATGACGCGTAAACTTCGGCAAATTGTGTCAAGTGCGTGCTTATCTTATCTAACCTCGTCATCAGCGGGCTGGTGGGCTGCGGTGCCTGGTGGCGATGGGCCATGACCAACGCCGACATTTCTCTACCTACCAACCCTGCGAAATAAGGTCTCAGCACCTGCGATTAACCGCCCTTCCAACGGCCTGTTGACGGGCATATCCCTATTGCCGTATTACGCTTCTACAGCCTTATTTTTCCGCTTTTCCTCCACTCCCACCTCCGAAAGCATATCGCAAGCTTCTTTGCTTTGAGAGACTTGGGCCCCCTCCTCAGGCGGGCCATTAACGACCAGCCAAGATGTTGAAGATTTGGTCCATGGTATGGATTTCCATCTGTAAATTTCGGATGTCTTGGTGGAATTTTTGTGGCTCTAATTTGATTGTTCTTTCATTTTACAGAAAAAGGAGCAGAAGCAGGCTGAGAATGCGGAGGGTCAAGCCGCCGGTGGGCGGAAGAAGAAAGTTACGGCCGCGCAACTGCGAGTTCAAAAGGGTACGTATGCGTCCACACTGAGCTATCATCGTATTTGATAGCTTATGTACTTGGGGAGAGGATGAGATGGAACAACGCCTTGGTGGGAGATGTAATACCGGTTGAGGCAGATACGGGCGTGCTGACAAAATGATTTTTATTACAACAGATCTCTCCGAGTTATCTCTTGGTTCAACAATGAAAACCGAGTTCCCCGATCCGGACGACATTCTCAACTTTGTCCTGACCATCGAGCCTGACGAGGGCATGTACCGCACCGGCCGGTTCACGTTTGACTTTGCTATTAACCAGAACTTTCCGCACGAGCCCCCGAAAGTAAGGTGCAGAGAGAAGATCTACCATCCGAATATTGATCTAGAGGGCAAGGTATGCCTGAATATTCTGAGGGAGGACTGGAAGCCAGTTTTGAATCTGAATGCAGTGATAGTGGGACTACAGGTATGGATCTATGTCGCTCTGAGCTTGAAACCCTCGAACAGCGGTTCGGATTGGCACGGCGCTTTGGAACTGCTCGGTCAGATTTCGGATCGAGGCTTTGACACAGAGCGCCCATGAGAGGATGGGTTACTAATACTTGGTTGTAGTTTCTATTCCTGGAGCCGAACGCCTCAGACCCTCTGAACAAGGAAGCCGCTGAGGACTTGAGAGGCAACAGAGAGGGATTCAGACGTAACGTACGAACGTCTATGAATGGAGGAACCATCAAGGGTACATCATACGACCGCGTATCGAAGTAGATTAGCCGATCCGGCGGTTCAACGTTGGGGACTGGCAGGGTGAGGTGAAGCTATCTGATGAGGCTGGAAGAGGAAATCTTTGAGAGGGGCCATGTGAAATGACAAAACGAGTAAAATTGGCACAGTCTGCTAGGGTTGGGAGTTCATCGACGTGCATGATAGAGGATGGGCATCGTTTCTGGCGAATGAGATGCTCGAGGAAACTTGACATTTTGCAAGCTTGGCACTCGGTGGGAGAAAGCGAATCAGCATAGTTAGCTTTAGATATTTATGCATTATCTACACTCGGGGACTTATTTGTCGCGGTTTAGGTGTCGCACACGGCACTTGGGGCCGGATGGATGACTGTCGCGGAAGCGGAGCGGGACCTGGGCCCCCATTTCACATCCCCCCCTCTCACCAGCATCACTCATCATCCGACTCGAGAGTTTCCGTCACGCAATCCCGCCGGCTTGTCATGAACCACTCTGCCCCCCCAACATGGCCGACATATCAACCACGCTCCCTCTATCCCGTGCGTCCGTACTGGCCGCTCACGACCTTATAAAACCACACATTCACCGCACTCCCGTGCTCACAAACACTACCCTCTCTGGTCTTGCATCTACGCCCCGGTCTCCCGATGATTTCAAGGGCACCCGTTTCGAGGGCAGGACGCCGGCCAAGCCAAAGATGAGGTTGTGGTTCAAATGCGAAAACCTGCAGAGAATAGGAGCGTTCAAGGTCCGAGGGGCGTTTCATGCGCTGGGCAGGTTGATGATGGAGGAGGGGTGGGTCGAGGGCGGCGGAAAGGAGAGGGGAGTTGTGACGCATAGTTCTGGTAAGTTGCTTTCCATCCTGCCTCATGGTCTCTCTGTCTCTCTCACGCCTGCTTCAAGGCATGCTAACCCACGCAGGCAACCACGCGCAAGCACTCGCCCTCGCTGCCCGCGAGTCCTCCATCAAGGCGCACATCGTCATGCCCACCATCTCCGTGCCGCAGAAGATCGCCGCCACGAAGGGGTACGGCGCAACCGTCTACTTCAGCGGGAGCACCTCAGTCGAGCGCGAGGCCATGGCCGGCAAGGTCATTTCTGAGACGGGCGCGCGGCTCGTCCCGCCGTATGATCACCCGGACATCATGCTCGGCCAGGGGACCATGGGGATCGAGCTGCAGGAACAGGTGGCCGAGCTGCAGTCCCGGCTGGACCCCTACGCGGCGTCTTCAACAAAGGGCCTGGACGCCATCATCGCCCCCTGTGGTGGCGGCGGCATGCTCTCCGGCGTAGCACTCTCCGCGGAGGGAACCGGCGTAAAGGTCTTTGGGGCGGAGCCTTCCTACGAGGGGGCGGACGACGGTAAGCGCGGGTATGAGGCGGGTGAGAGGGTGGCGGCTGTGAGTTCGCTCACCGTGGCTGATGGGTTGAGGACGCCCGTGGGCGAGTGGCCGTGGAAAGTGATTTACGAGAGGAGGCTGGTCAGTGGGATGTATAGCGTTACGGAGGAGGAGATTAAGGCGGCCATGAAGCTGGTGCTGGAGAGGATGAAGGTGGTTGTCGAGCCAAGTGCCTGCGTTGGGCTGGCGGTTGCGTTGTTCGACGAGGATTTTAGAGAGATGGTGGAGAGGGAGGCAGGCGATCGGGGGTGGGACCTGGGGATTGTTTTTAGCGGTGGGAATGTAGGGGTTGATGCGATTGGGAGGCTGTTTTCCGAGTAGCTGGTGGACGAGGGTGCTTGCGACGGCGATGGGAGGGTAGGCGGCATATCCATTTACATGGATACACGAGACGAAGACGCATTCTTCGGCTATCAGCAGTAAGCGACCTTGACGGGTGACGAGAAGACAGTCATGATAAAGTTCACATCGTTACGACGAGACGAACCGCCTTCCTGGCCGGCATCCAAGGAAGAAAATTCATGGATAACGTCATATATCATATCTCGTCTAGAAATCTGCACGCTACATGCCAATACCACACGCCCACGATGCATGCCAAATGTCAGTCCAACGCATTCAACGCCTTGTCCATCTCCTTCCTCCACCTAGGCGCATTCCGGCGCAGCGTCCAAATGCCGATATACCCAGCGACGATGCAAAACAAGGCCACTGCGGTCATGACGTATCCCACGCCAATGGCATCAACCCACGGCGCGGCCACAATCGTCCCCACGCAGCTGAGGATGTTGCGGACAAAGTTGTTGACAGCCACCCCAGCGGAACTTCTCTTGCGCACGAACTCCGTGAGCATCGTCGTAGCCGTGCTCTTTATTTCCAGTTTATGCCAGTTAGTCCAACGATACAACTACCCGTCTGCAGTCCCTCTGACAGGGTAATAGGGGGGTCAGGAGGACCAACTTACAAACACGAGCATGGAGGAGATCCCAAAGAGGAACGAGCCGATGGAGGGCACGAACCAGAACACCCCGTAGTTGAGGGTCCATCCGAAGAGAAGCAGGCCGCAGGGGTAGAGGGTATTCGCAATCCACACGTTCTCACGCATGCGGTCCTCGGGCAGGAGGATGAGCTTGCCGCGCTCGTCGTAGCGATTCGCCCTCACCGCCTCGCGGGCCATGATGCTGTCGGTCCAGCTGCCGCCAGAGACGGAGGCCAAGAAGTACCCCAGGCCAGGCGGCAAGTACAAGAGCCCGACGACGAGCTGCTCAAAGCGGTACGGGGCCCTGGCAAACTCCTGCTGGATGGAGATGTTGGCGACGAAGAGGGCGCCAAAGGCAATGGCAGCGAGACAGACGGTGATGAGCACCGGCGGGAAGCGCAGAAACAGCAGCACGGCCAGGGGGTCGACCAGGAACCTCTTGAGGCCGGCGGCGAGCCGCCTCGAGCGCAGCCCGGCCGACTCCCTCGTCGACATGCGCCGCAGGGCGAGAGGGGGAGGAGGAGGCCCGGCCGGCTCGAGCTTGGGCCGCGGCAGCGTCTCCGGCAGGAACAGCAGCAGCATGGCGAGCACGCAGAGCCCGTACCCGGCGAGGAAGTACATGCACGCGCGCCAGCCGAGGCTCTGGGACAGCGCACCGCCCAGCACGGGGGAGATGACGGGCCCCAGCAGCGGGCCCAGGTAGAACATGCCCATGGCGCGGCCGCGCTCGAAGCTCTCCCAGATGTCGGCGATGGTGCCGGCGCCGACGGCCTGGACGCTCGCCGACGCGCCGCCCGTCAGGACGCGGAAGACGACGAGCATGGCCATGTTCCGGCTGACGGCGCACAGCACCGAGAAGACGACGAACAGCATGAACGAGACGAGGTAGACGCTGCGCCGGCCAAACTCCTCGGAAAACGACGACCACCACAGCGGGAAGATGGACATGGAGAGCATGTACAGCGCCACGGAGAGGTTGGCGACGGTCGACGAGGTGCTGAACTCGGCGGTGAGTCCGTGGAGGGCAGCTGCAGCCATTAGAAAAGTGAAGATGAAAAAGAAAAAACCGCAATATTAGCGTAGGGGGAACAAAGAGAGAGAGAGAGGGGGGGGGGATGAAAATATTCAAAGGGGCGTGGTGGAGGGAGACCAACGGTAGAAAATAGACGATCCCATGGGCGCGGCCAGCGTCGCCAGCGCTATCGTCGCCGTGATGCCCCATTTCGTTGAATTCGTGTAGTCATACGGCCTCTCGACCTCTGGCGTGACGGCGAAGCCCGCAAACAGGCCTCTCCTCTGCGCGCGCGGCACAATGGCCACGATCCTGGGGCGTGTCGTCGACGATGCACGGGACGCGGTCCGGCCGCAGCCGACGGCGAGGACCCCGGACCCGGCATCGGCCTTGGCCTCGGGCCCGGTGCGTCTGTCCTCGCCGGAGGTGCTCTTGCTCGCCGGGGACGCAGCGCGCGCGGGCAGACCCTTCTCGGTATCGTGAGCCGGCGGCGTCTCTGTCGTTGCCGCAGACGCAATGGACGGCTGGCGCGGTGTTTTATCCTGGCGTCGCTCCGGCGGCGGTTTCTCGAGGTCCGCGGGCATGGTGCTTCCGGTCCGCGGAGGGAGGGGGCGCAGATGGCTTCGGGAATCAGAGTCAACAGAGACGGAAACACATTATATGTGAAAGAAGAATATAGACAGCAGACAAGGACGATTGTTCTTTTTGGGAAAAAAAAAGAAGAAAGGAAATCGGGCCTAGGAAACTGACGGCGCTGCGAGCAATGCAAGGACATGGTTTAAAAAGGATAAACTCGGCAACGGAAACGGCCCCCGTATGTGCCTTTGAGCTCCGAGCAGAGCAGTTGGGTTCCGAGGCTCGGCAGCGTTAGTGACGGGGGGGTTGTGGGCGTGTCCATGCGCAATCGGACTTTTTTGGTCTGCTAACTCGGTGCTTTGTCCCTTGTTGACTGCGGATAACGAACGGCACGGGTTGAAAGCGCCGGGATGTTACCTTGGAGTCTTGGCAAAGATGCTCAAGTCGGGACGTTTCAAGGCGCCATCTTGACACGGAGGAACCAGATGAGAGCATCCTTGCACAAGGGGACCAAAAAAAAATACATTGCGCCGAATTGCTATGGGGATAGAGAGGAAAAAATGAGCAAGCGAATATCGCGGAGATGGAGACGCTCTCAGCTTAGCGCACCGATATGAACTGCAATGCCGCTAAAACGCCCTCCTTCACGTCCGACTGCAATTGGCCGTCTTTTGCCTGTTGGCAGCTGGCAACGCAGGGAAAGGCGTCCCCATTTACGTCTGCCGTTGGTTACTCCAAACCATGTTTTGTCCACATCCGGCAGGCCCTTGGGCCCAGCTTGGATAGATCCGGACGCAGCCACCACGACAACGGGCGTCGACTACCACTCGAGACTATGGGGGCCTAGAAACGAGACGTCGAAGCCTCGTATTAATATTCTCGGAAAGACAGTCCCTCAGTCGTCGATGGTCCTTTGCTTCTTCTCTGACGGCAACGTGGAGCTGATACGTGACACGCTCACGTCGGACTTTGCAATCTACCCTGACAGCCAAGAGTTTACGACGCCGAATGTCACGCCTGTAATGCCACCAGTTCCCCCGCAGACAAAACGGAGGAGTGTGTGCGTGTATAGCTAATCAGCCGGCCGTCGTCAAGGGCCGAGAGGCCTTTATTGCGGCCTACCCGCCTCATCCCGGGGCGGCGAACTCGTTCGTCACTCTTGACAACTTCTGGGCGTGTCGGAAGAATGCGTTTCGCTGGGAGGCGCCCGGCGGCTTTGGTGGCAAGGTTCCAACTCGCGGCATCGACACGTTGGACCTGGCCAGGGAGGATGGAAAGTGGGAGATTGAGACGGACTACTCGGAGTATCATAAAGTGGGATTCTTGCAGGGAATCGGCTACTGTACAATCTGCTGAGCTTGGTTTCGCGAGAGAGGAGTGGCAGCTTTGTAGTAGTTGGAGGTTCCGTTGCTCTTGTGAAGGCGTGAAAAGTTGACCCTGTTGTTCATGATGCGTTTGGGCGTGTGTGGCTCATGTTTGTTTATAATGCTGCGCTCCTTGTTCCTTGCGACCGCTAATTTTTTATTTTATTTTTATTTTTATTTTTATTTTTTATTTTTTTCCCCTTATAATAGACAGCCGAGTCCCTCTTTTATCAAGGGCCGAATGTCGGATGAGAAATCATGATGGTTGAGAAACCCCTCGGCGGGGCAAGCATTTCTTACACCACCAAAAACGTCATCGCACCTCATTTGCTCTCGTCTTTTGCTCTTGGCCGCCCGCCCAATCGGCTCGAGTCGATTTTCCATCAAATCCCCCTCCTCCACGAACCCAGCCCACCAATTCCAACTCAAAACACCCTCCAACCCCCGGAAATGTCTCTCACCAACGCAACGGCAGAAGCCGCCGCCAAGGAGGCAAAGACGGCGTCGTTCGCACTCGCCTCGCTGCCGGCCTCGGCGCGCAACGCAGCCCTCGATGCCATCCACGCCGCCCTCTCCGCCTCCAGAGACGACATCCTGGCCGCCAACGCCCGCGACCTGGAGCTCGCAAAGAAGGCCGCCGCCGACGGCGCTCTCAGCGAGGCTCTCGTCTCCAGGCTCGACCTCGGCAAAAAGGGCAAGTGGGAGGACATGTTGAAGGGCATCTTGGATGTTCGGGATTTGGAAGACCCAGGTACGTTCAAAGAAAGGGGTGTGTGTGTGTGTGTGTGTGTGAGCAGACCGGCCTGATCCCGGCAATAACTAGTTGGAAAAATTCAATTGCGGACCAAGCTCGACGACGACTTCATCCTCGAGAGGGTTTCCTGTCCCATTGGCGTCATCCTCATCATCTTTGAGGCGCGTCCCGAAGTCATTGCCAACATCGCCAGCCTGGCTGTCAAATCTGGAAACGCCGCCATTCTCAAAGGTACGTTGTGCGCCCACACAAAGGAGGAACCTTTTTTTACTTTTCTTGCTCATGCGACCAATGCAGGCGGCAAGGAGTCCACCGAGTCGTTCGTCGCCATCTCCAAGGTCATTTCGTCGGCCCTCGCAGAGACAGAGGTCCCCAACGGGGCGATCCAGCTCGTCACCACCCGCGACGCAATCGCCCAGCTCCTCGCCCAGGACCGCTACATCGACCTCGCCATCCCCCGCGGCTCCAACGAGCTCGTCCGCTACATCAAGGGGTCGACCAAGATCCCCGTGCTCGGCCACGCGGACGGCCTCTGCGCCATGTACCTGGCCGCCAGCGCCGACCCGGAAAAGGCCGCGACCGCCGTCGTCGACGCCAAGACGAGCTATCCCGCCGGGTGCAGC